TTTTTTGGCCGAGGTGAAGAAGGGCTCTTCCATTGCAATGATTGCTGCTTGCTTTCAGGGTAGTAGCCATAAACCCAACTTTCGTCACCAGTGACAACTTTCGAAAGAAAGTTTGGATCCTCTTGAAGCTGTTCCTGAAGTTCCCTGCAGACTTCCAAGCGATGCTGCTTCTGTTCATTTTGCAGCAGTCGTGGCACAAACTTCACCGCAATCCTCCTCATGTTCAGTTCCTCTGACAAAATTCGTTGACATGTACCATAACTTAGTCCCAAGGTGTTACAGAGGTCTTGGATGGTCAGTCTACGATCTTGCGGAATCAGATCCCCAACTTTCGCGACATTTTCTGGTGTTTTGCCCATTGACCACCGTCCCGAACAATCATCATCATCAGTCAATGTTCGGCCATTTTTCAAACGCATTTACCAGTTGTAAGTTTGTGTCTGGCCTAAACTGTTTTCACCAAAAGCTTGCTTCAACATTTGGTGCGTTTCTGCAGCGGTTTTCCCAAGTTTGAAACAAAACTTTATACAGACAGGCTGCTCTCTCAGGTCAGCCATCACAAAACCGCAAACTCACGGAAACACAACAGTGGAAATACGTTCACCAACAATAAACCCAACCACTCAACTCGACGCCGCTTGCCACACTGATTCAAGGAGGATGTGTGAGGCGACACCTAGCAGTATTTCGATGTACTCATAACCATTCACGCGCAAAATTCAAATTTCGGAAACTCTGGGATTGCCCCACGTACATTACAACCTTAACACCAATGCATTAGAACCTTAACATCAATGCATAAGTCTCAGACCAGAAAAATCACACATATAAAAATTAAACGCACAATCATGCTAATATACTTCAATATCAAAGGAACTATTTATAAACCTACTACCTTCAAGTTCTGGCATGTCTGCAGAAATGCACTTGACAAGAAAGACCAAAACTGACTGGGCAAGTGCATTTAGCATTGTAACAATGTATCTTTCAGTACAGCAATTTTTGGCAAAAACTAAATAAGCACTGAAACTTCCACCACACTCAAAAGATCTCTCCTGCACAAGTTTTCATGTTTCCAAAATCAAGAACTTTGCTAACCATTTCCAATCTATGTTGATATATAACTGACATGGTGACAGTGCTACACACAAGTGTCGACACATGACTGACAAAATTTCTCATGTTTCTAGCATATGCTGCTACTATGCACTGTATACTGTACCAATGCATTCATGAATGTTTTGTCTGCCTTCTTCTGCCATCTGAAGTCAAAATTTTAACTTCCTGAAGAACAAATGCCATTTATATATCATGGGGTGTCACATGTTAACAGTATGGCATCATGTTGCAGCAAACCTGGCATTCCAGCTTCAAAAACCGAAAATATGATCCCTTGTATGATGTGGATGAAGAAGCTATTAGTGATATGGTAAATGAAGAACTCAGTATTAACTCTGCTGATGTGATGGATTTGGAAATTGATGGAGAAACTGTGAGTGAAGAACTGAGCAATGGACAGTCAGAAAGTGAGTGTGAAGCAAGTGGAGTGAGTGTTGATGGGTGGAAAGATGAGAATGGGCAACAAGAAACCCAAGGCATACATAGTTACTAACAATGCAGGGCCACAATTTAACCTTCTGCTACATGCAGAGCCTATGTATTATTTTAGTTCATTTTTCAATGATGAGCTTTTGAATAACACTGTTATAGAAACAGACAAAACTGCGAAACTTCAGCTAAGCCTGAGGTCCATTTGGAATGGATGATCTGATTTCTCTGTTATTGAAACAAAGGCATTTTTAGGTCTAATTATAAATATGGGCCCAATCCCATTATCCGATATAAAAGACTACTGGTCTAGAGACTAGACAACACAGATAAAAGTTTTGGTCACATAATGTCTAGAGATCGCTTTTTACATATTTTGGATGATGCATGTGGGGAAATGATACCATTAAAGAAAGCAATCAGGCCAACAAAAGAACAAAGAAAGTACATGGGATGATGGAACATATAGAGAAATGGTTTCAGATATATTTTGTGCCAGGTAAAAACACAGCAATAGATGAATCAACAGAGCAAAATAATTCAAGAGCAAAATAATTTTCAAAATTTCTAATCCAAAAAATCAATGAAATGGGACATCACATTATTTGCATTAGCCGACAGTGACAATGGTTATGTCCACAGTATAATTCCATATCACAGAAAACTTATAGGTGACATATGTAACTTGCCATACTCTTAGAAACCGTTCACTTCAAGAATAGGTCTTTCCTTGAGGAACAGACTAAGACTCAGTGTTTCTGGTGTTGAAAGCTACCACCTTTTCACTGACAAATATTATAGTAGTGCTCACTAGACCCAAGAGTTGGACAATCAAAAATGACACCTATTAGGCATTATTATTTCTAGTAGAGTTGGCAATCCAAACCCAGTGAGGCAAGTGGCCATGAAGAAAATGGAAGCGATGACTGTTGTGCCTACAGAAGTGGGAACATCCTGATAACTGACCAGAAAGACAACAGGGTGGTGCTCATGTGTATATATCATGGCACATCAATGAAAAAAACTGTGACCACTCAGAAAAGGGGGGGGGGGGGAAGAAAGAAATTAAAAAGCAAAGGTATATATGTATGTATGTATGTATGAGGGAAAGTCAGAAATTATCCGCACTTTTGCAATAACAAATCTTTAGGTTTGTCACACTGCCTTCTGCGCATGCATGCTTAAGAGTTGGTACTACTGTGGTGACATGATCGAAGTCTGACCTTGATCGCATCATTTTCCTTGATGCTGTGACCATGCAAACATGCCGCCCTGCTAGCAGTGTGCACCAAGGAGGAACAAAGAACAGTGATCCGATTTCTCTGGTTGGAAGATGTGTCAGGGGCTGAAATTCATCGGATGCTTTCAACACAATACGGGGACAGTGCTCTACCACTGGAAGACTAGCTGGAAAAAGGGTGTATGATCAACAGTGCAAGATACAGCGATCTGCTGGCCAACAATATGAAGCCAGCAATTCACACCAAATGCTGAGGCCTATTGTCGAAGAAAGTGTTGTTGTTGCATGACAATGCACACCCACACACGGTCGGCCAGACCATTGAAACAATTAACCATTTGGGTTTTGAGGTCCTGGAACACCCTGTCTACAGCCCAGATCTCGCCCTTTCTGAGTGCTTATGGTACAGAGTTTGAGAAGATGCACAGCCAGCTCAGAATGATGTCCAATGACAGGCTCTGGTTTTAGGACTGGTGAACCTTTGCATTCTCTTAGAGTCAGACACTACTCACCAACAAACTTCATGCCAGCTACTTCCAGCTGAGGCACATATTTTGGATTCACTTCATACCGATGTCTATGTCTTTCTTCAATCCTTTCCTTGTTACCATACAACTGTTCTGAAATTCAGAACAACCAGGGTTTCAGCACACTTAATATGGGCAGTTCCTTCTTCTTGAGATTGCTAAATTATTGAAACAACATACATGGCCCCAAAAAAATAAACAAATGCACAGAAAATCTTGATTTGGAAAATATACACACAAAAACTGAGATGTTAATGGGAGTATAACATTACAACTCACCACTGTGAGGGTGTATACTGGGTAAGGATCATGTCAATGATGTCTGGTGATGATGGTAATGAATTTCCAGTTTCCACAGCAGTAGCAATGTGCTGAATAGATCAGTAAATAAAAACTGCAGACATGCTAAGGATTCACTTAATTATCACTATGAAATTTACAAGACTAGTTATATCTTTCGTATATCAGTGTCTGAAAATCAAATTTTCTAGTGAACCACAGCAGCTGCATAAAAGGAACAACTTTCAAGTAAATTTTATGGTGACCAATAGAGAGTGATGTGTAAGGTAGTACTGAATGCTACTCAGTTACAAGTAACATTGGACTTTGGAACAATTCAATTTTATATAACCACTTAAGCATGTGTAGTACAGATATTTCATTTCATACTTACTAAGTACTGAATTATCATAGGCAAACACTGTTGTGCGTTTTCCAAGCCTCATTGTACTGCCCATCATACCGGGATTGTATTCTGGCATGTCAATTACTATGGCATGTTCCGCGTCTGGATCTATTTCTGTTGTGTTGGCACCTGTCAGGTTCAGCACATTTCTGCAACCAGAGAACTCTGATCATTATATGATGGTGATTACTATGAAGTAAAGTAAAAGTAAAGCTATCCCTGTTAACAGGCCGTGAAGGCCCACAGGGTTGTGAGATGTTGAGTGTCCCACATTATCTAGACAACAGGCTCAAAGATGGCGGTAAGGGTTGTTAGCCTTACACGCCGGCCGCGCTTTACTCCCAAGGAAAATTATTTAATTAATTCCTGGTACTCATTTCTATTAGAGGCTGAGTCGACCCCAGGGCCATAGTGCAGCTGGAAGAATTAGGCCAACTGAAAAAATCCAATTACCTCATCAGGACTCGAACCCACGACCTTTCAGCTTGTAGCATAGCGCCTCAACCAACTACGCTACCGTACCACATTTTTTACAGGACATTGGGGACAGGATTTAGAAAGAAAACTAAAAGGAATCCAGGAAATATTATCAACACCATAAAAATAAATGGCATATTCAGAACTTCCTTGTCTTTTGATAAAATATCTGAACAGTGTTCTGGATCACTCTTCACTTACTTTCTGTATTTCATACAGAAAGAGGAATGCCACAGTGTCTTCACAGAAAGAAATATAAATTGGGCATGGCGACATACAGATAAAGCATGGGGCAATCTGAAAGCCACTTTGTGGCAGAAAGAAGGACAAATTTATTTATAAATACGGATCTTACAGCAGCAGTAGGTAATTCTGTGATGAGAATGGCCATCCTTTTAAACCAGACATGGTACAAGACTAAACATATGAAACCATGAATAACTGACCATATGACTGTCTCAACTGGCATATGCACTTGGAAAGGGATGAGGAAGCTGCTTCCCACTTCCTGGACCTACCTATTCTGAACAGCAATATCATTCTCACTTCCTGTGGTTAAAATTATCACACATAAATTACAGAATTCCTTTTATCAGGAACCTGAAGGGGGAAGAACACTTCGATTTCAGACCACCCCTGTGGGACAAATCTTTCTACTACCAACTGACCCAACTTGACATATGATAATGAATACTGCCATTCAGGAGGATCATGTGTTTGGTGTCACATGTCTCTCATAAAATGCAAAGTTCAAATGTCAACTGTAATACAGCAATGTATGTTAGTCCTTGTTTCAAGTTTTACAGATAAAATTGGATTTCTGATAACTGTCCAACCCAACACTGGTAAAAGCCCAACACACATACATTGTAAGACCAATGACATTACTGCATTGATGTTTTTAATAACAATATACTATTAAATAAAGGAGCTAACAGGGAGTGAATTTTACAGAAGGGTTGATGAGACTAGCAGAGGTGCTTATGAAGCTTATTTAGAATTGAATTGAATTGAATTGAATTTATTTACATTCTATAAATCCTAAGTAGGTTAGTACCTTTGGATACAGAACAAGTCAAAAGGTTACATACATAAGTACAGGCAATTTTAGCTTAAAAATTAATATAACTTAATTTTACATCATTCTCTATTTACATTGAAGTATTCATCTAAAGAGTAGAAGGAATGAGCATGTAGATAATTCTTTAACTCTGATTTAAACTTTTTAGTATCATTGCCCAAGTTTTTAATACTTTGTGGCAGATTGTTGAACACTTTTATGCCAGTAAAGTAGACTCCTTTTTGATATACTGATAAAGTTGATGAGGGTAGGTGGAAGTTATATTTTTGTCTAGTATTCATGTTATAGACATCAGAATTTAATTTGAATTTATCTTTGTTGTAAACAACAAATAAGAGAAGCGATAATATGTATTGCGATTGAAGAGGTAGAATTTTTAATTTCTTAAATAATTCTCTACATGAATCTCTACTTCTACATCCTGTAATGATTCTAATTATATTCTTTTGTATTTTAAAAATTATTACACTATGTGAAGAGTTCCCCCAAAATATTAATCCATAGTTCATAATAGAATGAAAGTAGGCATGGTAAACCATCTTCAATGTTTCCTGTGACATAAAAGGCTTAATTGATCTCATCGCATAGCAAGCTGCATTTAATTTAGGTATAATTTGTTCAATATGTATTTTCCAAGACAGTGTACTGTCTACATGTATTCCAAGGAATTTTGTATCAAGTACTTTACAGATTAATTTGTTGGCATAACTGATGTCCAGATCAATTTGGTGGTTGTTTTTAGTTGTGAATGATATGTAATGGGTTTTATCAAAATTTAATGAGAGTAAATTGGCTTCGAACCATCTGTTTAAGGCTTCAAATACAATATTTATGTCATTTTTAAAGTTGTCAAATTTAGAGTTCTTAAATATTATACTAGTGTCATCTGCATATAGAATTGGTTTAGATTTATTGTTGATGGTTTTAGATAGATCATTTATGTAGAGAAGAAAAAGTAAGGGACCTAAAATTGATCCTTGTGGAACACCGTGCTTTATAATTCCCCAGTTTGAAAATGCATTATGACTGGAGTTTTTATTATTTATTTCAACTCTTTGATACCTGTTTTTGAGGTATGATTTGATCCATTCATTAGCTTTGCCAGTTATTCCATAGAAATTTAATTTCGATAGTAAGATATCATGATTAACACAATCGAAAGCTTTTGCTAGATCACAGAAAATCCCTCCCACAATTAATCTGTCATTGAGAGCACTTAAAATATCGTTAGTTAGTTCATAGGTTGCTTTTTCTGTTGTTAGGTCTTTCCTAAATCCAAATTGCTCTTTGACTAATATGTTGTTAGAATTTAAGTGTTCAAGTAGTCTATTATACATAACTTTTTCAAAGACTTTTGAGAATGAAGTCAATATGGATATTGGTCTGTAATTAGAGATGCATTTTCTCTCTCCTTTTTTAAAAAGTGGTTTCATTACAGCGTATTTTAAGCGTTGAGGAAAAGTACCTGATGATAAAGATTTATTACATAGATGATTCAAGGGTGAACTGATGTAAACAGAGCTTGCTTTAAGTAATTTGGTAGAGATTTCATCATATCCATGTGAATTTTTGGGCTTAAGGGATTTAATAATGTTTTCAATTTCCTTCCTTGTTGAGAATTTGAGATTGATATTTGGAAATGAATTGTTAAAGGCACGAGACAGATAGTATATTGGATTATTATTATTATTATTATTATTATTATTATTATTATTATTATTATTATTGGAATATGTTTTCTCAGCTAATGAAAGGAAATATTCATTAAATGCACTTGCGATAGCTTGTGGATTGTTAGTGGACTTCCCTTCAATATTCAAACTTTGTACGTCTTCATTAACAGATTTCTTTCCTGATTCAACTTTCACAATATCCCAGGTGGTTTTAATTTTATTGTTTGATTTTAGAATTTGGCTGTTATAGTTATTCTGTTTGGCTTCTTTAATGACTTTTGACAAAATTTTACAGTACATTTTGTAGTGACTTTTTAGTCTTGGATCATTACTGTCCCTACTGGCCAAATATAGTTGTCTTTTGTGTTTACATGAAGTTTTTATTCCAATTGTTATCCAGGTGGATTTGTTTTTATTTTCATTTTTGACTATTTTTAAGGGAAAGCTTGAATAAAAGATCCTCAAGTATGTGTTCAGAAAGCAATTAAATTTAGAATCAATATTATTGCTGTCAAATACATTGTCCCATGATTCATTACTTAATTTTGTGACAAAATCTGCCATCGTATGCTTGTTGATTTTCCTTACTGTTTGATATTGTTGATTACTGGGCTGAAGGTCAATATTATTTATTTCTATGAGTTGAGCATCATGATCGGATAAGCCATTTATAAAGGGTCCTACAGTATAGTCTCTTAATTTTGAGTTATCAATGAATATATTATCTATCGCTGAACTAGAATTATTTTGAACTCTTGTGGGAAAGTTAACAGTACTGGAGAGATTGTAAGATGATAACAAAGAGTCTAAATTTAGTTTCCTATTACTGTCGATGAGATAGTTTATATTTATATCACCACAAATTATAAATTCAACTTTTGAACTATGCAGTACATTTAGGATGGTTTCTAATCTATTTATAAAGTGATTGAAGTTTCCAGATGGGGCTCTATATAAAGTCAGTATACAAATATTAGAAAAAGGAGAGTCTAACTTTAGAGCACATGCTTCCAGATCCTGGTCTTTGCAATAATCTTCTAAATTTATTTTAGTAAATTTTAGGTTTTCATGTACAAAAATACTCACTCCTCCTTTCTCCAGTGTTTTCCTACAGTATCTAGCACCTAAATTATAATTTTCTAAGTGAAGATGTTCTAATTCCAGCTGTTTCATGTGATGTTCAGTAAGGCACAGTATGTGTGGAAGATTTGAATTCATGGAGCTTATTAGTTCATTTGTTTTGTTTCTCAATCCTCTTATATTCTGATGGAATATTCTTAGTACTTTATTATTCACTGAATTTAGTAGACTGCAATTACCTTTTCCGATTTCTATTGGTTCACTTACATTATTGTCTGAAAGATTAGTTTCTTTTGCAATTTCTTTTACTTGATAAACTTTACTTGCACTCTTTATCCTAAAAAATGATTCTGAACACCCATGACAACTGGAATGTGTCTGCCTTTAATGCTCTCTGCAATGAGTCGCGTCAGCTTGTCCTTGCCTCGAGGATTAAGATGCAAACCATGGACAGTATGTTCGCTCCTCAATATTGAAGAGACATCAATCGCATCAATGTGGGCCGCGCCGACCTCCACAAGCGAACGCTCAAGCCGAAGATTAATCTCCCTTACACACCTGTTAATCCATGGCTTGTCATGTCACCAGAGAAGACCAACAAACCTCACATTGGTGTGACTAGTTTTCTGGGCAATGTCACTTAAATCTTTCTCAATTTGATAATTGAGGTTTCTCTCCAAACTGTTACCTGGCCCCCCAACTATAACTACCTGATCTTCTTTACTAAAACCTTTGCACAATTTTCCAATGTCCCCAGTGACATTGCTCAGATCAGCATTGGGCTTGAATATGCTGGTCACAGCATATGCATATGTCTCATTCTGACTGTGAAATAATAGCAAAGATTAACAACATGGAAGGAACTACAAACATTTTAAGATTCTTACAGCACTCAAGGAAATATAATTAAGTAAAACAATCTCTCACAAGTGGACAATTCCATTACATGGAGACCCATTTCAAACATACACAGTGAATAAGGGTTCTGTTCTTTGAAACTGAAACTAATGTTAATAATATCACAGTGTATTGGTAGTGTATTCCAATTTGGCCAGCTACAACTGCATTATAACAGGAAAAGGTACTCTCTTTGGATCATAAAGATTAACAAATTACAGTTTAACGCAAGTTCAAACACAATAAACAAATACGTTTCTTGACATAAATTGTAACCAATTTAAATAACTCCAATATGCATTACAAATGAAAAAGTTAACTGTCACTGTCTTCCCATACATGTAGTGTTCTTTCACATACAAGAGAGTGATCTACAAAGGAATGTCACCAAAATGAAATTAACTGAGGCACCAAAAAGAATTATGATTACAGTAGTGACAATAAGAACTCAAACAATACATGCTAACAAAAACACAATTCTTAAAAAAAAGAACTGCCTCCTGAATTCATCATTCAAATGAAAGGCTTTATTCAAAGTATAACTAAGACTTTGGTTAAGTCTTTGGTGTTCTAATGTTAGCTGGCTGGATATTTCAGTGCAATCTGAACAAATATTTAGCATTATCAACTGTGTACAGCAGTTTAAAAACATAAAGCTGTAAGATAATGTGTAATGAAGTATTTACTAACACATCTTGGCAGGAAAATTAAATGCTGTGTCCTGTACTCCAAATGCCAACAGGTCTGCCTATCTTCCAAAATGTGACTTACTGTAAACTGGCAGTCATCAATATAGGAAAAGAAAGTGAGAAAGGAGGAACAGGTTCCAAAAGGCTTATGATATTCTTTGATACAGAAAAGAAATTAGAATTAAAATATTTTCACAACAGAAACAGGTAGTGTCTACATTGATATGTTGGGATTTTGGACTTTATCCATCGTCCTGGTTTTTAAGATAACAAATAAAAACACGACGTTTCGGAAATTGGATCTGTTTCCGTCCTCAGGTGAAGGAAAACACCTATTCAGTTGGGTNTAGTGTCTAACTTATCAAACAAACCTTGAGAACTCTATAACCGCAGTCTGTAGACCAAGGCATATGCCCAGGAATGGCTTCTTGGTTTCTCGGCACCATTTACAAGCCTCTATCTTCCCATCAACTCCACGTTTACCAAAACCACCAGGGACAATCACACCACTAAGAGTAGACACAATGACAGGCTTAAATATATGTATTTCAAACCAAATCGTAAGCACCATTAAAATAATTATTCTTGGTTAATACAGCAAAACTACAATATGAGGATAGCTTATAGAAAGGTCATCCTTACAGCAATAAGACATTAGTACCTTCAATTTCTTAATGTTACATATACAGAAAATGATCACAAAAGGAAATCCCCTTTGGCACATTCAACAAGAGTGATCCTAAGTAGTCACCACCGCTTTCTTGTAACTTTCTGCACCAACTGTGCTTGCAGTTATTTATGGTCAGTAGTTGTGAAGGTCGCATTAACCCATCCCCACTGACCTACACTTGCTAGGCAAAAATCTGCATTTCAGAATGTAACTGTAAGCCTCCTGCTCACTAAGTTTTAACTCCTAAGAAGTGTACATCATATCATGTCTCCTGAACTTCTTTGGTATTTTTCTCTTCTTGTCACACAGATTTTCTTTTCCACCGAGTTTCAACTAACCTACAAGGGACGATGTCACAGAATTCTATGCAAGCACATGTTTAAGGTTCCGACACATCAAACATCTACTTGTGTCTCAGTTGATATCACTGCAACATTTTGAGAAACCTTAATTACGGCAACAAAATGGAGAAGATTAGACTTTAATATGAAGCTTGAAAAAATAGATCAATGTGCAGTTGGCAGTATGTCAAAAAGTGAAAGAATTAGGTTATATGGATTATAGACTGCATACAGTAAACCAAAGCACACTTAACATTATTCCTTTTTTTCATCAGTACATATTTATGAAATTTGTTTCATAATCTTCATGTGTGACTGTGTGTGAACATAACAAGATATAGTCTGTTCTACCAGTGTAATGTCACAGGTGCAGGAATTACAGGTGGTACAACTCCTACCCACATTATTAAACTGGGTTATTTTCTTTCGCAGTGTGGTAATGTAAATATGTTGTTTGATTGGGTTACAAAATTAAACAGTTATAATTTCATGCACAGCTTACATGCCTATAGCATAACACATGTCTCACAGGTAAGCATAAAGGCTGATTCACAACCAACTCTCAGATATATAAAATAAAATAGCCGAACATATTCTGATCACGATGTTTAGGACTCATAATGTAGCATACATAAGTAAGTCCTGGCATGATTTGAATTGCTTCATGTGTTATATCTGTTACTCAAGCTTCATACAAGTCAACAAATTTATTCTCCCATATGCATGTGTAGCGAATAATAGGCAGAAATAGGGTGGAGGTTGCAAGCATGCAATGAATTTTGGACAGAACTACTGATCCATGTTTGTGGAAAATTTGACAAGGACAGCTCCTAATTATCAGTAAGTTGCCAGCAGAAGCAGTTATGTAAGATTATGAAAACCTTCAAATCTTCAGTTTAGATAATGCTAACAAGAACACTGAAGTAGTTATTTTCACATCCCTGTGATAACCACGAAAAAGAAGAAATATTGCAGTACCCACATTGTTATTTAAACATTAGTGCCATACTGCATTTTGCACAGCGAAGCAGTTAGGGATGAACTTGTAGTTATTTCTGGATATTAAAAGTATCTGTTAGAATGAGCATTTTTACAGAATTTATAAATTCTCGTAATACTGAGGATTCACTGTGGTATCAGGGTTACAGTCATTGATAAGTAGCAACATTACTGTTAATCTCAATCTAAAATATTTAATGTTTAATTCAGGCATTTTGCCTAAATTAAAATATTCTGCACAGTCTGTATAGTGACTAGGCTACAGGATGGATGACTGAGGAGTCAGGCTACACTTCTGTCATCTCTGCAATGCCCAAACCGGCTCAGGGGCCCACCCAGCCTCTCACACAAATGGTACCAGTGGCTGTTTCCCTGCAGGTGTAGAAACAGGGGCATGAAACTGATTCATCATCTCCATCTACTGCTGAAGTTCAGAATGGTGGACCTACAGCTCCATTCCACCATTTTCCTTCATGGTGTGTTGCCTGACTGATTACACCCAAGGATAACTTTACCTTCTTACCGTTGAATTTAAATAATGCAATGTGAAGATATGAGAGTGTACAACATAAATCATCAAACAAGAAACCTCTACAAAAGTTTATTCTTATATTACTTTGCACCAGCATCACCAATTTCTTTCTTTAAGTATTTTTACATTAAAATCTACCTGCTGCATAAAATATACATTACATGCACTAGAGGGACAGGCTCTATCCTTATTATTAAAGCACTCATCAATAATGCAACGATATTTTTTTTAAATATAAAAGACATCTAAAATATGTTTCTTACTAAAAGTGCCACTTTAATACTTTACAATGCTGTTAAAATCATAAAATGTCATTAAGACACTAAAAGTATAACTTAGACACTAAAAGTGATCATCAAATTACTAAAATGTCTCTAGTTTTACATATGTTTCTTCTCACTTCACAACATGTTTTGGCCATACATGGGCCATGGGTGCAGAGAGTCATCCTTTGGGAACGTAATGAAGCATCATTCATTTCAATGGCTGCATTCTTCTGCCCTCTAACTTAAGAAATGTAAAATGGTGCATCTGCACAGTGAGGCACGTGCTCCATGGTTATGCGATGCAAGTATTTCACAGGGCTAGTAAAAATGACTTTGTATAGTGCATGGTGCTTTCTATAATAGTTTTAAATAAAGTTGTGGACTTTGGTCAACATGTGACATAGTGATAAGACTAGGATAGTGAATTATGTACTTTTTTTGCCATCTTGGGCAACCCTGATTCAACCATTAAGGGACGGGCCATTTGAATTCCGGTAATGGTAGCAGGCTGGAGTTAATTTAACCTTTAACGACCGAAAGTCCGGTATACCGGACGGTACCTGTGACCTCGAAGATGCCGAAAGTCCAGTATACTGGACGCAAGACACGTGCTCACTTTAGAAGTGCTGCCGGTTAGACGTTGAGTTTGAAACCAAAACAAACACACGCAAGTTCAAGTCAGAGGTCCAATTGTTGGCTCTGAACAATAAAACCCTTCATCATGGCACTGGGTTCGATTTCGTTTACATGTAGGTAAGACTGTTTGTGACTTGGTCAGCCAAACAGAGTGGAAGCTTCTTCACAGAACAGCTGACCCAACATTCCTCTGTGCGGGCAGATCACTGCTTCTGTAGCTCTCAAGGAAGTGTGACGTGTTTAGTGAGTGTCTGAATTATCAGCTTGTGAGTCAGTGGCGGACTGTTTCTTTGGGGAAGCCAAGATTTTTCATTGAGTCATCTGGAACTGAACATTGACAACACTGTCCGGCCAGCCAGATAGAAACAATAACTTCCTGTTTGTTCGCTAAGCGAGAGACTGAACCAGATTGTCTACCAGCGTATGAGAAGTGAGGTCTGTGTGACCTTCACATCACGCTGAAGCAAACTCTGCCTCTCCGCGCTCCCGCACGCAGTATCTATAGTAGCGTAAACTTACACGACGCAACGAGTTGAAACTCGTGTACAGTCTGACCAAACATTTTGGTGTATAGTGTCAATGTATTTTGGACATAACGACATCTCAAATTTGAAGAAAAAATTATGGGTAAGTCTTTTGGAATTTCATTACAAATATAAAAGAGATTATATTTTGAATTTCATGACATAACAATCACAGTTAATTTTTATTTGTAAAAATTGCCTTAGGTATATTGTAGGAAATTTCATTCTCTCTCAGGCGGTTTTTAGTTCGTAATTCTAAGCTGCATAGAACGGAAAATATGTAGTTTTTTCTGAATGTCTACAATATTAAAAGGGCAACGTCAAATTAACTCCGGCAGCAGTGCAGTCGTGGGGGGTTTAAATGCCGACTCTTAAAGGTTAAATGCCCGCCATTGTAGAGTAATAAAAACTGTAATCATGTTACTCAGAATGCTGTGATTTCTACAATTTTTGTGATAAACGAACGAAATAAACGCTTTTATCTAGAAAGAATATAGAATCAGATATTGTAATTTACGGATTTTAAAATCTGTAAAAATTGTTACACTGATTCCAAAAAAAAAATTTCCCAATTTTGAGTGTCTGTCCACAAAAATGCAGTCAGTTTCTGCAGTATAAATGCCTGCTGCTGACATCATTCATACTGGTACTGGCTTATCTGGCCAAAGGGGAGGAAATGTTTATGCTTTTATAGCACTCGGAATACACATATCTGCCACACAAGAAGTGCTGTTAAGCTTCTTAGAAAGGCCCGCACATGGCCCCTTCTTCTATGTACTTTCAGTCTTATATACCACATTCTAAATCCATGACATTTATGAGCTTCCTGTTAACTTCGGCTTCCTCCATGCGAAATGGGGCCATGGGGGATAGTTGAAATTGCGATGTTTTATAAGCGTTATGATTAGAGACGGCAAATCGGCAACACTGGCTGACTTCCTGCCAATACTAGACTGATGTTGCGTGTGTGCGCTTCGCGTGGAAAACAGAGTTACATATGGACAAAGTGCATGAATTGCGACGTTGGACTCTGCATTCAGTTACATGCAACATTCAGTTAGATGATGCAGGAGGGAAGACAGTCTACTTATAAAGTGGGTGTCCAAAAATAATGTAAGTAGAACAAGAATTCCTATCTTAAAATTAGATTTTAAAACACTGTGCGCACGCGTGGACTGCGCATACCCATACAGTGTCTTTCGGCCACTCGGCTTTACTTTAAAGGTCCCCATACGGTGTCCTTCGGCTCATAAAGGTTAAATGGACTTTTCCCCTGTAAAAAATACTGAATAATTTAACATTTTTGCAACTTCTGGTGCCTGTTCCCTGTCTGAGTTAAGATTAGTTACATTTTATCACAAATTTTCATACTTTGCACTTAAATTATTTATAAAAGATTTATTCAAAAAAATTCAGCACAGAAGGTACTGAGAGTTACTTAACATACTAGCAGTGAAAGGGTTAAGTTGGTACACACAATGGGAATTGAGGCAAACAACGCACTGCCTTGCAAAATCCACACCCTTCACAAAATCTAAATTTATTCTTATATCTGTTTTACCATAAATCTATAAGACAAATCCATTAGGGACCTGTAATGACTCAATGACAGAACTTACTCGCTCTTGCAAAACTGCTGCCAAGCTTCATGGTATGAGACTGGATCAGCGCTTCTTGTTACATCTTCTAAATTTGCTGCCTCAATGTACTGTAATGGAAAAAGTACTTTCCATATATAAGAGATACTTTTAAGACCAATGAATAATACAAAGTAAATTAATTACTCAAGCAGTAGTCTAAACTAAAAAAATAAAAAGTAAAGCTATCCCTGTACCAGGGCGTGAAGGCCCATAGGGTTGTGAGACGTTGAGGGTCCCATATTATCTAGACAATTGGCTCAAAGATGGCAGTAAGGTTGTCAGCCTTATGCGCCGGTAGACATGTTAAAACATAAAGGCCTGTTGCATTTGAGGTTTTCAGAGTGGTAACTATGAGGAGCATGGTCTGGGTTTTAATGATGTGTAGTATGCAGGAATCCATCATTTTGGAAAAACATATCACAGTCATCATTAGGGTCAAAGAGTAAGTCAAGCAAGAAACTAGCAGAAGCAAGCTGTAAGCTAAGCACACAGCCTGCCATCTGTGTCTGCCTGTTTTTTACTTAGCTTACTCTGACCCTGAAGATGGAAGCTACATGTACCTCTGTACACTACACAGCATTACAACTCAGAACACTGTGGTCATTAAAAAGTATATTCTTCACTTTGCACCTTAATCTTAAGTCTGAGGCCAGCAGCTAATGCAGCATGCTGAAGAGCTTTGGTCACCGAAGCATAGGAATCCTCCAGCTTTGTGTACTTTCCAACAAGAGCAATTGTTACGTCCTTGCATAGGGTGTCTGCCCTGCAACAAGTATCATTACTGTAAGTGCTTTACAAAGCTCAAGCAAACCTGGCTACAGATCCAGAGGTCCTGGGTTCGATTCCCGGCGTTACCAGATTTTCTGAGAAGTAACAGGTCTGGAACAGGGTCCACTCAGCCTCGTGAGAATAAATGAGGAGCTATTTCAAAGAAACAGCAGCTCCAGGCTAGAAAACCGAAATTAACGGCTGTGGGGATTCGTTGCACTGACCATGCAACACACTCTATCCACTAAAGTTGGCATTAACTTCACTGACAAGCGGCAGTCGCTCAGTCAGTATAGTTCACATGCACACTAGGGCCATGGAGTTCTTTTATACTCTACTTAAACCAACTAAAACTTACATTGTCTTGTTCAGATCAACTCACAATATTCCTGAAAATAAACTTCACAGTATGTTTTTTAATTCTGACCCATTCTTCCCAACTAAAAACCAGTCCAATCTGCATATAATTTGCTCTCTTTATATATTAATTGTAAGGTAAGGCAAAGTTGTCCCTGTGCTCAACAAATTAAGCACTACACCATAAGGGCATTAGGGGAGTGGATGTATAGATCCAAATTTTCTTGATCTTGGCACTAGCAGGAGGCGAGTTGTCAGCTTCACTCCCCAGCCGCTTTACCCCCGGTACTGAGTGGACAGGAGGTTGGGTGGACCCCAGAGCCAGTCTGGACGATTTGGAGAAGAGAAAAATTCTTGACCCTACCAGTTCTCAAACTCTGACCCCTCAGTCATCCAGCCTGTAGCCAGTTGCTATACCGACTATGCTACCCCTGCTCCCTATTAAATGTAAGTCTAATAGTGTAATATAAAATTATTATATAACAATACTGAACAAATTTGTTGCTGTTTCAAGCTGCGTAACATATAAGCTGACTTCATTTAGTCTTCAGGTAGAAGGAAATGTCATCTCCTCTATGGGGCACTTTATATAATTTAACCTCAGCAATATGCACAAAAGCAGATGAGAAGTGGACTGAAAAGAGGCTAAACCATGGAACATAGTACATCACAGAAGCCATAAAACATACATAAAAATACCCCTTATTCAGGTAATTGAAAATATCCCCCAAAAAATTCTTCTACAGTGATTTCAGATTACTGTCACAAACGTTTTGAACCTGAAATAATCATGTTCTCTCCAGGGTGCGTTGCACTGGGATTCCGAAGTTCAATAAAATATTATGAAGTACACTGATGATCCGAATATCTGTTTCATACTTTAAGGAATGACAGCATTAGTAATAAACACAAGAATCATATTACACGTCTTTCCTTCTCCCTAAACATGTACACAAAACCTTTTACCTTTGTACAAGGTATGATGAATTACTTCTGCAGTGCTGGTAATGGGAAACAGGTGTGGTAGCAATACTACACTTCACATGTAGAATTAAGTAAGATATCTGAAATGGCACTGTTTTATACTGAATAACTTTACTGGCATTATATTATATTTTGTCTTTCAACTTACCTCTCATAGCATTTCCATCTTTTGATCTTAGCACTCCACTCCAATGCAATTAACCTGACAGTTTATGAACTGAACTGCAATATAAGGCTGAAACCAGATATGAGAACCAATATTGGCCCTGTATAGGTTCAAATTTTCAAGATGCCTTCAGTTTGCATTAACTAATTAAAATTGAGGGAGCCAGACAGCTCAGCCAGTACAGCACAGCAACAGGGTACTGGATGGACAGTTCAAGTTTGATTCCCAACAAAGGTAAAAGATTTCTCTACTCCACAGCTCTCAGATCATCTTTGGGACCCACCCAGCCTCATATCCAATGGGTACCAAAGGAATTTCTATGTGAGGTACAGCAGCTAGGGTGTCAAGCCAACCATTCACCTCCATCCAGTACCAAGGTCAAGAATGGTTGAGCTAGACCCTTACTCTCCCATACGTCTTCATGGCACAATGCCTAATTAAGCAAAAAGACAGATTTACCTTTTACCTTTAATTCAAATGGTTCCCATATGTTACAATTATACAATCAAGAAATGTCTATTATTCTTTTCTCCACTCATGACAAAATCTTTGCACTGTTACACAACTGTTTGTAGGTTATTCAACAATGGTGTCAGAACTCAGACTCTACAGCATCAACTGACTGGCTGGAAGTGAATAATGAATTAGAACAGATGCCAAAAGAAGAAAGGCCAAATCTGAAACATGATCCCAGCATATGCCTGGAGGGACTGAGGAAAGCCACAAGAAACCTGTCAGAATAGTAAATGCCTCTGACAAGATTTGAACTGGGCACCTCTCAAATACAAGCCAGAAGCATTACTTCAACCAATGTGCTCAATGTGTTTCAATTGCAATCCATATTCAAAGGAAAGCAGGTTATGTCAATTCTGAATTGTTCCCATCTGTCTTTATAATTCTCATACAGATCACTTCCACAAACACTAAATGAAATACTGCTGGACTTCAGAACTTTTATGATCAGAACTCTATAAATGAAAAAGAAGTTCTGTTCCCTAAAGCATAATTCTGGTAATCTAAAAATTTCTAATGAAAGATGAATTATCACATATTTAAACAGACAATGGATAAGGTAAGGAAATATCAGAATAAAATTCTCACAAACTTAACATCTGCTATACTGTCATTTATGCCCACATGGTGTCAGAAATACATTTTATGTAACTACTTGTACAGTCAACTATACTGACTGCCTCAAATTAAATATAATAATTTCAACAAAATTTCAATTTGATGTAAATCACAAAACAAACCTTTCCGCAAGATCCTTCCATTTATACATAAATTTTCTTGGAGGAGGCATTGGAATATTCAGCTGGAGACGGTCATTGAAAAATTCCAAAATTCCTTGGCTCTGCATTAGTATTGGAACTCGATAGATGGAAGGCAAGTCATGGATACAAAGTACCTTAAATGAAGTACAAATAAAGATTAAACATAACAATATTCAATTTGATTACCTAATTAACCTTTTGACGTGGTCATTTAAATTCCGCGGCCGCGGCTCCTGCGGTAATATATTCAGCCGGCCATTTAAATTTTGCTCGAAAATTATTTATTCATCATTGTTCTTAAATTCTATGAGATAGGAACATGAAACTTTCACTAAAATGATCTTAAAAGGTGGTTTTATAACCTTACCTTATAATATGAACCCCCTTTATATCTTCAATGGAAGCATGTTATTTAGTATTTGAGCAGAGAATGGTACGCCTTGAAGGATGAAACTTTCACTAAAATGATCTTAAAAGTTGGTTTTATAACCTTGCCTTATAATATGAGCACCCGGTATCTCGGCTATGTAAGCAGGTGACGCCTTGAAGCATTAGTCTAAACACAGAGCTGGCTCTCGAAACGACCACCAAGGTCAGTACGATAAAATGGCGTCAACTGGAGCGATAATGAGTACTTTTCCCTCCCCCACACACATCCGTATCGTCTCAGGGGGTGACCACAGTGTTCTGCCTTAAATTGTGGCGTATTTCTAAGAAATGGGTGCTATGTACTGTGCGAAAGCAATCGATTTTACGAGAATAACATTTTGGACAACCCTCTTCTAAGAATTCCAATGGAATGTGTTTGTGTGGCCAGCTCAGGGCAATATGATATTATATACAACAGCACACATCACCTCTCTGGTGTTTATTACTTCACAAGCAAAGCAAATACGCCATTGAGTGACGAAACCGCTACAAGAAGCAACACGAATTTGCTGCAAGACAGGCATATGTAACGATGACTTATCTCAGCTAAACTCGTTGGCTTAGTATACTCTGTTCTTGTGACAACAGGCCAGCGAAAAATCTAACAATCTACAGCAAAACCATCAATTATTATGGGCGTTATAACATAGGTGTGCAGCTGGACGAAACATACACGCCGAACCCCCCCAGACGATTTAAATCCCTGACGAAACATACACGACGAACCACGGCAACGGGTTAAACAGTATCAACATCCAATTCCTGACTTTCTGGACAGTATCATCTGTCCTATTTTTCACTCAAAAACATTTTGAAGAATGGACTGTCTCTGTCAAAGGTAAAAAGCCTATTCAGTTGAGCTCAACTGGCAGAACTAGTCCCTATTTCCACCAGAGATACAGACTAGCTCTCCACTGTCACAAACTTTTAGATTTTATTTAATATTTTCATGTGACAGAGTGACTACACACAGAGTTCGGATTGGTAACTGCATTTATTGAACACTTACAGATCATAACTACAAGTAACTATAGCACTATCACTAATTCACATACTCTTCAGTTTACTACGGTGCATACTAAATCTTTTCTGTCTGCTGTGTCTTCACCAGTGGACATTCCCCTGCTCCCGGGTTCATGTCCTCACAGGCTAGAGGCCATCTCACACCAACATCCTATCCTTCTAATGCCTGTATCAAGACTCCCTCTCATTAGATAGCCTCAGCATGGACTGCACAGAAAACATTGCTTCAAACAGTTACTCCAATGTTGCATGTTACATAGCTGTTTCTCTGGCTCCACAGTTCTTGCTTCGAGCACATATGCCACATAAGGTCAAGCCATAGCTCAGGCAGTTAGTCACTGGCTTCCCACCTCAGTAGCCCAGGTTCTAGCCTGGGTCTGGTCATGTGGATTTGAGGTGGACAAGATGGCACTGGGGCAATTTTTCTCCAGGTACTTCAGTTTCCCCTGTCAATCTTCATTCCACAAATTGCTCCACAATAACCATCATCTTATCATCTGGGGCTGGTACAATGGGCCAGAAGTGGACTCAGTCTCATCCCACTAAGAATAACAATAAAAAAATATATGCCACACTGCTTCATACTTATGGCTATTTGTCATGAATGGCCAACAGGCATACTGCCATTCCTTCTTTTTTGAGGGCTGTGCTTGTGATATCTGTGATCGGTCTCTCCTTCCTTCCCCGTGACTCGGTTTTCATGGTGATTAATCTGTAACTACTACCGTTGCTCCCTTCCAAGTGGTTCTCTGATAAGCTGACAGGTGGTCCAGGTGTACCAATGTCATCCTTCTTTTCTGAGGGCTGCAGTTTGGACATCTCTTCTTCTGTTTCACAGTTGGCCAACCCCTCCACAATTTCCAGTCACTCACTTCCCACAGCCAAGTCAAAGACCCGACTATTTGTTTCTCAATCTCCAGCTCTACGGTCTTCCTGAATATCATGCCAGATGTCCTCTCCTTCCTCAGATGTATTTGCCAGCTTGCGCCTCAGTCCTTTATTCCACTGTTGAATTCGGTGCCCTTCAATCGTCCCTTCTCAAACATCTGCCCTTTATGACTGTGTCCCTTACACCATGCAGGAACAGCACAGCAGGTCATCTGTCTGTGGGCAGCAGACAACTTCTTCCAGGACCCACCATCACCCTGCGTCCATTTCTTTGGCTGTCAGTGGCACCCTGTGGCTAGATGCCAGTCCCCAAATTGGTCGACTTGTGCTCTGATCGTTTCCACTGTGGCCTATTCTTTAGGGACTTCCTGATGCACCGCTATGGCCTCTGACTTTTCTCAAATGACCTCCAAATCTGTTGTGTTCATTTTGTTCAACATTTCTTCAAAGACATCCTGTAGCCTCCATTTCTTCCAGGCCAGCCTTCACATTCTCTGGGCTGACCATCACCTTTTCTAGGCAGGCCACTGTCAGTTCTTGGCAGGCCACCGTCTCGCTTTGTCAGGCATCCATTTTGACTTCCATCCTTTCTTGATGGGTGTCCATTTTTTCCTGCATGGCCCTGTCCTGGCGTGGCGAATATCCACCTGGAAGAAGAGAGTATCTCAAAGAACCTCAGACTTCCCATTACTGGCCTCTATCTTGGCTTCCAGCCTTGCTGTAATTTCTTCTTGGTCAGTTCTCATTTATTCTCGGCTGGTTCTTATGTCAGCCTTCATTTCCCTTTGAACGGCATCTGTTCTTTCTTCAGTGGAATTCATTTTGGCCAGCCATGTGAAAGTATTCATTCCATCTTCATAATGTGGTGATATAATTACACAACACAACCTTCAATCCAATAATCGACCAATCCAACCCCACTTCTGGAACTGGCTGTCACGTAACAGAGTGACTACAAATGAAGTTCGGATTTGAAATTGGTTTTACTGAACACTTACAGATCGTACAGTACAGATCTTACAGTAAATATAGAGCTATCACTAATTCACTCTCTCTGCAGTTCACTAAAGCATGTACTAAGTTTTCTCAGTCTGCTGTGTCTTCACCAGCAGACATTCCTCTGCTCCTGGCCTCATGTTCTTGCAGGTTGGAGGCCATCTCACACCAACCTCCTACTCTTCTAACTCCCATCTCAAACTCCTCATTTCATAACCTTGGCCTGGACAGTACAGACAGCACCACTTCTAACAGTTACTCCATTCTTGCATGTTACCCAGCTGTTACCTAGCAATGGCCTTTCCTCTGGTTCCACATTTCTTGCTTTGAGCAGACATGCCACAATATCAACATCCCTGTAAAGAGAAGTTCTACTTCTCTTCACCAACGTTCTGCATGTCTTGGTTAATGGTTACTTTATAATGCTGTATCAGCAATAAGAGCAATGACAAGAAACCAGTGACTTGGAAACCATGTCAAAAGAAACTTACCTGCTCAGGAGCAACATGACAAAAGTTCGAAATTTTATCCTTCACAGCCTGACCAATTGGATTCTCACTGCGACACACAATAAGGTCTGGGGACAATCCCAGACCTCTAAGTTCTCTCACACTTGCTTGTGTTGGCTTTGTCTTGGGTTCTCCAGTGGTTCGAGGCTGAACAACACAAATGCAATATGGGTTTAAGGCTCTGAAGTGCAGGCTTCAGTGATGAAAGAAACAAAGTTTGTCTGAGTGAAGTACAATCACACCAAAAAAAAATAACTCTGAAGCTATGAGGACCAGTCAAATGAAAACCGGACTTTTTTTTTTAATTTAACTTATTGAATGAAAGCGGTACACAACTACATCATTTTTCTTCTTTCATAGTCTACATTCTGTTCAATACAGGACCTCCAGTGTTTAAAAAAGTGTATGAATTCCTCTAGAAAAAATTCTTGTGGTTGTCTGCACAACCACTCATGCACTGCCTGCTGTACCTCTTCATCAGAACGGAACTTCTTTCCTCCCATCAAATCTTTGAGTGGCCCAAACATGTGATAATCACTTGGGGCTAGGTCTGGTGAGTATGGCGAATGTGGAAGACACTCAAAGTGCAAGTCTTGGATTGTTGCAACCGTTGCACAAGCAGTATGGGGCCGAGCATTGTCATGTTACAAAAGGACACCTCTAGTCAAAAGTCCATGTCACTTTGATCTGACTGCAGGTTGAAGATGATTCTTCAAGAGCTCTGAATATGAGGCACTGGTGATAGTGTTCCCCCAAGGTGTGTAGTGCTCCAAAGAGAGTCAGCATAATCTCCCTGCAGATGGCTGCGTCCAGAACTTCTTGGGTTTTGGTAATGAGTAATGACACCATTCCTTGCTAGTTCTCTTTGTTTCTGGCTGGTGGTAGTGCACCCAAGTTTCATCACCACTAATGAGTCTTGAAAGGAAGCTATCACCTTCTGCTTCAAGGTGCCGCAGAAGTTCTTCACAGGTGTCAATGCGTCGTTATAATTCTGGAGTCAGCTGCCGTGGCACCCACCTTGCAGAAACTTTGTGAAATTGGAGCACATTATCAATGACATGGTGTGCTGATCCGTGACTCATGTTAAGAATTCGGCTATTTCATCCACCGACACTTGGCGATTCTCCATCACTAGGGCTTCAACTGCTGCAATAGACTCATCAGTTACAACTCTGTGCACCTGACCTGGGCGAGGAGCATCTGCCACAGACATCACACCATTTCTGAATTTCCTACTCCACTCGTACACTTGCTGCTGTGACAAGCATGCATCACCATACTGAACCTTCATCCGTCGATGAACTTCAATTGGTTTCACACCTTCACTGATCAAAAAATGAATTACAGAACGTAATTCTTCTTTCGTGCATGTACGTAGTGGAGCAGCCATCTTCAAACTGGCACTGTGATGGCATTCTGTTTGTCTGCATTATACTGCCACCTATAGGATACTCTTTATAACAATGGTAACATGTCTGTCAACTTATAGGCCAATGGAGCTATATTTCAAATTTTTATCTCAGTTTTACGATTTTCATTTGACTCACCTACGTAATTCCACAATTTTCTCACTTAAAAAATCATTATATAAAACAAACTAGCACTATTCCATCACTTCATCAATACATGGAACCATTAAAACTATTCAAAAAACTTCAATTTCAAGGAAATTTCCAGAATCAAACCATGGAATCACTAAGTTTAAAAACAAACCAATAATGACAAATGACGAATGGGTACCATCACTTAAAAACACATTTATTCATACTGGGGAAGATACATAATTCCATCAATGCAGGAGTGTAAACAAGAATGAAACAGCCTCGCATGTATGTTATATACTGTGAGCACCTGGGAGGGGGAATTCATGGGAGGAAAGAATGGGCTTTTACATGAAATCTCTTGTCTGAAGGTCATCTAAAGAAACATTTGTAAGGTCTTCCCTGCAACATTTATCCCCAAGCAGCCTTGGAATTTCTAGCAGACAGCTCTATGGTGGGAACTTTGCACTTAAAGTTTCAGGATTAAGCAGATTATAACTGGTCAAAGCAAAAAAGTCACTTACACTCACCCTTCATAGTCTGTTTTACCTAATTATATACAATATTTTGAACTGTTTTCATTAATATGAAAATGGAATTAGGAACATCAATCCAAATTTTCTCCTGTCATTATCATACACATGCATCAGACTCATGATGCAATGCACATTACATAAACCCTCCTTTCTTTTTTAATTCTGGATATGGTATGTCTAAACTAACCAGATGAAACAATTAACTTGTGAGTAACAGGAATGCAATGCTGATACACCAATCACAATCCGCAATTTAATTCTATCTCTTAACCACATGCTGTAAAAAAAATTCATAAGTTGCAATGGGTTTACCAACTCACCTGAGGAACCATAGACACATGAGCACAAACAAAATTCTCTTTCTTAACACGAAACTGGAACTGTCTAAATGCTTCAACAAATGGCATTCCCTCTATGTCTCCAATAGTTCCACCCAACTCAACAATGCATACCTGAAATGAAAATATTGCAGTCATTTCTTAATCTCAGATACACAACAACAGAGATAAGTAACAACAATCATCTCTGCATACTTGTGGTTTGGTTCCATCTTCAGTTACAGGCTGGTTAGCAACCTTCTCTACCCATTCCTGAATTGCATCCGTGATGTGGGGAACAACTGCAAAAAAAAAACTGAACATGAAATTGATCTGTCTGGTACAGATGTGTGTAATAATAATAGCTTACAAAACACGAAAAACTTTAATTCGGCTAGCCCTTATGTACTTATTACAAAGAGGTGTACTTTCAGAATATAATCCTAAATGACAATTAGGCTTGTCTATACCGTGTATTATAACAGGAAGCCAGGTTTCAGGATCTGTAGTTCATCATTCATTTAATTACAACTGTGCTTCAAATTCAAATGAAATCCACAGATCCAACTAAAAGTTGAAAACTTACATCAGTGACATTTGCAGGGTACTGTCATCAGAAAGGACACCTCTTCAAAATGGGACTAACAAATAGTCCCACTCCCTAAAGATTCCTAGAAAAATATGAATCAGCCACACATCCTGTGGAAGCCATTTCCAAGCTTCTCAGTCTTTCTCCTTATTCTGAAGTGTACAGATGCAACCCTTGCATGCTCAGAGACATACTTTGCAGATCAATTAATAATAAATTAAACAGTATGGTTTGGAGGACAATACATGAATCAATTTCTAGCTGAATCAACTCCCAGTATATCGCTTAATTCAGCATCGCTACCTTGAGTCTCATGCTAACTGACCCAGCTAGTTTCCAGTACCTATACCAGCCTTCCTTAGTTTGATCTATAAGGACAACTTGCAGTGGCCATCATACATCATCTGAAGGTAGAAAAACCTGTGAGAGGGATAGCACCCTTCCGACTGAGCTAATATTACAAAGACAGGTTGGAAAAGAATCATGTTAAAGGTAACCAATTTTTCATATCTATTTTGCTGAAACTGCATTAAAAATACTGATGAATAGTGGATATGGACACAACATTTGCAGTTGACTGACATGCTGAGAAGCACCCCATGATTTTTTCTGACAATCTGCTGCCAAATGGCACAGCTAAACGATAGAGGTGTCCCTATGCATAACTAAGCTGTCATGAAGATTATGTGGTGGTAGAGGTATAGCTCCACGCATTAACTTCAGCACTAGGTGGACATGAGTTGTCAGCTTCACACCCTAGCCACTTTATCCCCAGTACCCATTTAATAGGAGGTTGGGTGGGCCCTAGACCTGGTGTGCACACTGTGGAGAAGCAGCACTTTTGTCCTCCAGGAATCAAACCCAAACATCTCAAATGTCCAGCACAATACCAATTGCTATGTTAACTGAGCTATCCTGCATCTCATACCTAATATGACTTCAAAATATTACTATGCATGAAGTTAAAACTCCATTTCATACATGAAGAACATACAGTTAGGACCTGGACAAGCACACATTACTGAGTGCAAGTTAATGTAAAATTGCAATCTTAAACCTTTACTTTTCACACTAAAGCAAATCATTCTTAGATGCAATTATAAGGTACCTGTCAGTTCAATCCCAAAATTAGTCTCAAGATCTGAAATATAAAATACATTCAGCTAACATGCTCCATTCCTTCAAGTCCTTACCCTGCACTGTCTTCCCGAGGAAGTCACCTCTTCTTTCTTTGCTAATCACATGCTGATAAATTTTTCCAGTTGTTATATTATTATCACGGTGTAATGTGATATCCAAAAACCTTTCATAGTTTCCAAGATCAAGATCAACTTCTCCCCCATCATCCAAAACATAAACTTCACCTGAAACAAAATTTCTGTATTCACCATTCAAGAAACATCATGCTATAACTGCTTATAATATGATCATGCTGTATTTATCACAACAGCTTTAAATCTATAAGTTTAATAATTCAGGTACATTTCATGAGGGAAAAATATGATTAAATGCATAACTATATTAACCTTTATCTGTATGTTGCACAATTATGATGGCACATGTGCTGGTACAGCAGGGCCCATCAGGTCTAGCATAGCATTTTTTAAATATAAATCCCATTACCACCAAGTTTAAATCTGGTTGCCAGTAGGACAATTGAATTCAGACAGTAAAGGTTAATAGCATATCACATGAGAAAATCGTGCACCTAAATTTATAAACACCTTCCTTAAACAACATTAACAAATTTCAATATGGACATTAATAATATATTGGCACATGAACAACGTGGTTTTTGAACTAAATTGTCCACTGAATCAACCATTTAATAATACTTAATAAATACCATTCTAACAGCAACAAATAATAAACTTGTCATGGGAGGCCGGTTTTGACTTGACCAAAGCATTTGATTGTGTAAATCACACAATACTTCTTACTAAGCTTCAGTTCTATGGTTTTAATGGTATAGCAGGAAAGTTAATTAAAACTTTTTTGAGGGATAGACAGCAAAGAACAGTACTAAATAGCAATATTACAAGTGGTACTTTGGAGTGGCAAAGTGTAAAACAGGGAGTCCCTCAGGGCTCCGTTCTGGGGCCATTGCTCTTTTTGATATACATTAATGATTTGCCAAATATAACAAATAAAGAATCAAAACAAATTTTATTAGCTGATGACACCAACATGCTGTGCTGCAAGTCAAATATTAAAGAACCTGACATCGCCCTAAAAGAAACTCTTGAATTAATCAATAAATGGTTCTTTACAAACTCGCTAATTTTTAATTTAACTAAAATGAGTTGTGTCCAGTTTTTAACAAAACTAAATGCACTAATAAACTTAAATATTAAACATGGTGATATGCAAATTAATAATACGAATACTTTGAAATTCCTTGGACTGACACATCAAACAAACAGCCAGCAAACTGAGCTCAGCTCAATATTGTCCCTATGGAGCTTATTGATGATGTACATATATAATGCCTATGTTCATTCTATAATATCATATGGCATAAAATTCTGGGGAAATTCATCATACCAAATCTTTAAAATACAAAAAAGAATAATCAGGGTAATAATGGAAGCAGGAAATAGGGACACTTGTCAGCCTCTGTTTAAAATATTAAACATTCTTCCATTTTATTCACACTATATATTTTCAATATCGGTCTTCATGGTTAAAAACATGGACAAGTACGTAGCAAATTCAGATATTCATAACATTTATATTAGACAAATATTTGAATTACATTATCCAACTTATAAATTAACCAGGGCTCAAAAGGGAGTATCTTACACTGGCATTAGAATATTTAATAAATTACCACATAGTATAAAAAAATTGCAAGATTTAAATAAATTCAAATATTCCCTTAAAAATTTTTTGCAGGTGGGCTCTTTTTATTCTTTATTGAGTATTATAAATGGAAAACAAGGTATGATTGTGTTAATTACAGATAAATACTTAGTCATTTTTAAAAAAACTTTTATTGTATGATACCTATAATTCTTTAGATATGCTTTTTCTCTATTATAGACAATGTTAATATGTATTTTATTATGATAATAAGTTGCAATGCAAGTGTTATATGCATGTTGTATTTAATTATAACATTNATCAAAAATAAATTGAATTAAAAAAAAAAGGTAAAGTTGTCTCTGTGCTTAAATAACTAAGCACTACACCTCAAAAACACATGGGGGGTGGAGGTATAGCTCCATCATTCTTGAACTCAGCAATAGATGGGGGTGAGTGGTCAGTTTACAGTCCAGCTGCTTCACCCTTGGGGGATAGGAGACTAGATTCGCCCCACTGCTGGTCTGAATGGGCAAAGAAAAGGCTTACCTTGGCCATCCAGCCCATAGACCACCACTATGAGTATGAGGGGTGGGCCATAAAAACCGGCCCTCGCACCACAACCTTCAATGATCTATTGTGCTTCCCCTTTGCATTAACCCCTTATCAATCCTACACTTCCAATGAAATGTACGACTTTATTTATGGGGGCATCATAAAAGTCACATGGTTCCATGAAGAATTGACCCAGGTGGCGATATCGTAGGTAAGCTATGGCCTCACAATCACATAGGATGTGTGTGGCGGATTTACCTACTTGTAGGCACCTTTCACAAGTTGGGTCCTCTGTCAGACCCAGTTTGAAAAGGTGCCCTTTTAGGTGGCAGTGCCAAGTAAGTAATCCTACCACCCATCTTAGTTGATCTCTGTTTAACTTTAACAGGTCCCTCGTTCTTTTGGTAGAGTGTCCTGATATAAATCCTTTTGCCTGTTTGAGTCCAGTTGTGGAATCCCAGTGTATGTGATTTCTGTTAGTCCAGTCCCTGATCGCTTTCATGGCAACTACAACTGAGATGCCACAAGCTGGTTTAGGTCCTATGAATGGCTGTTCAGATCCTGTTCTTGCAGCTGATCTGCGATTTCAATCCCAGCAATACCCTCATGGCCTGGCACCAATATCAGCTGAATTCTGTTACATCTGGCCAGTTGTGTGAGGGATTGGTGGCAGTCCCAGACCAATTTTGGAGTTGGTATGTACCAAGTGCTTTGATTGCAGTTTGACTATCTGATAGAAAATAGATGTTCGTATTTTTGAAGTTTCTATCTAAATTCTCAACTGTGGATGCCTCAATGGCGTACACTTCTGCCTGGAATACTGTTGTACACTGACCAAGGCCAAGAGTATGTTTCCGCCCTGTTCCATCATAATACACTCTAGCTCCAGTGCCTTTATTTGTCTTGGAACCATCTGTACACCAGATTAGTCCCCCCTTTCTATCAGGTTGAAACCCCTCTTTCCATTCGCTTCTATGAGGAAATCTGACTGTGAAGGGTTTATCATAGACATGTTTCGGTATCATTTTATCAGATCCCAAATGTAGAATGGGTTCCTTTTTCATGTCCTGAATCATGTATGCATGTCCAAAACCTTCAAATTTCGGTCTCCATTGATCACTGCAACATAATCTGTAATTTCCTAACTTGGCCTCCGCTTCCATCTGCAGATGCAGTGGAGGGAGTCCTAGTAGGATTTCCATTGCAGCTGTTGGAGCTGTTCTCATTGCTCCTGTAATTCCCAAGCAGGCCATCCTTTGCAGTTAGCTTAGTTCTGCCTGACTTGTTTTAAGTTTAACTCTAGGCCACCATATAGTGGCAGCATAAGTACAGCAGTGTATATCCAATACACCACCTTTGGTGCCATTCCACAAGTCTTCCCAAACATGCCTCTGCATGTCCAGAAGGCCTTATAGGCCTTGTTAATAGCCTTGTCCAGCTGTTTTCTCCATGTCAGTCCCTTAGCTAATGTTATTCCAAGGTGCTTGACTTCACTGGATACCCAGATTGCTTGACTGAAGAGGACTGGTTCCTTAAGCCCCCTGATATTCTCCTCCTAGTAAAGGATAAAATTACTGTCTTGTTTGGATCGATAGACAAGTTTCTTTCGCACCACTGTTGAACTGTGCACAGGGCTGCTTGTAAGGTCTCTGACACAGTGTAAGGGAATTTCCCATTGATTAGGATTGCTATATCATCAGCATATCCTACTGCGAAATGACCTTTACTGTTGAGCTCCCAAAGATCATCCACGACCAGGCTCCACAGCAGAGGTGAGAAAACCCCTCCCTGTGGACACCCTCTCGCCACAGATGCTCTCATGGTCTCTCCAGACAAAGTAGCACTTACAAGGTGTGGCAATAAAGAACCCGGATTACTTTTATGACTCATTTCCGGCCACGTCATTGACGAAGAGGAGGGTAGGGCATTGACCCTTGGACTTCCCTCTACCGTCACACAAAGTTTCATTCACGTGCATTGGTTAGTCTGGCCNCAAATGAGGTTCTGTCAAAGGCTCCCACTACGTCCAGGAATTCTCCAAGGGCAATATCCTTCTGTTCAATGCCATTTTCTATGCGTGTTACAACACTATGAAGTGCAGTTTCAGTGCATTCACCTTCTTGGTAAGCATGTTGGTTTTGGTGCAGAGAATGAATCTTCAATGCACCGTCCCTAATCTACTACAGTCCATTCGTGGAGATGAGAGAGTCTTCGTAAACAAATGCACGTGGTATCTCCTTCGCTGTTTGAATGAAATCATGCAGCGATCACGTGATGCGTGTACAATTGCAGGGGTGTCCAAAGTTCACTCTTCAGTCTGAATACAGGTTAACGTGCATCCGAATGCAGTGAGTACACTGGAGTAACTGTGCGCTTTGTCCACTCCTTGCTGTCAGCTGTGGCGACGCGGGGCTTGCTTTGTTTATGCTAACTGTCTCATCTCCGCGAATGGACTATACTTTCTGCATTGTTTTCAAAAGGAAAGGATAGGACAATAAGCCTTAGCCTCCGTATAATCAAGTTTCCCGGGTTTCAGTATAAATGTCACTTTGCCTTGCCTCCAGGGCATAGGGATAAACCCATGCACCATGCAGGCTCTGAATATACGGCATAGGTGTGGGACTAAATGTTCCACCCCTTTCTGCTGAAGTGCTGGAACAATTCCATTTGTTCCCACACCCTTAAATGGTTTGAAAGTATCTAACCCCCATCTAATTTTTGATTGACTGATTACCCGACCGGCCAGGTTCCAGTCTCCCGTTTGTTAGGCGTCCACATATGCCCAGGTTCTGCTGGACCCCCCCATCACCTGAATCATCAATCAGCTTTGAATCAGGGAAGTGAACTCTAAATAGTTCTTACAGTGTCCCTTTCCCAGCTTGGGTATACTTACTATCAGGCAGCTAGATAGTACTGACCTTGTTGGTCGCCTGTTTTGCCATGACCCTCATGAGTCTGGCACTGCCTGGTACATCATTGATCTCCTGGCAGTACCTTCTCCATGGGGATTGCTTGGCTTTCCTTATTTCTTTATTATAACAGGTGAGGGTTTCCTTGTAAGTGTCCTATAGCCCTGTTCTTTTTGCTATAATAAATATCAGCCTGGGACCCAGTTAGTTGAGGGTTGGCAGTTCAGTGGAGTTCTGTAAGAGGCTGTGAAGAAAAAATTTAGTTGCAAGAGTGCAGCCATGCAAAGAAGACTTTATGTGCGTTATCTGGAATGTGTAATTCAGTGAGACTGTTACAGTTCCTACGTTAAATCTGTTGCCAGGAAACAGCTAATGGAGACTGTCACAGATTGAGGGCACTAGTCTTGTGTGTGTCAGTGATCTGTATTCCCCTCCTGGTATCCAAAGCCCCAGAAACCACGGGACATTATTAAAGTGTAGTACAAGGTGGTGTATACAAGTGGTCAATACATCCAATATACAATCCATACTCCTTCTATAGTCACACACCTCTAAATACATGACATTAGTCTTGCCATGGATGGCATAGAAAATACCATCTCCAACAGCTCTTCTATTGTCGTGTGTTCATTCATTGCCTAGCAATGGCTGTCTTCTGCAGTCATCAAGTCACAATATAGGGGGAGAAATAAAAAAAACAATGCTGCCAAGTGGTTCAAATCCATATAGGATGGGTGAATGAGAGATGGGCAGTGTGTGAATTCCATGGATCTTAACCACTAGTATGTGGAACAAGCCAAGTAGGGATACATACAGATGGCGACCTCATAAGCTTACTTTTTCCCTTATGGAAAGTAGGTATGCTAGCAGCAACTGTTATGAAGTAAAGACTTTTAATTTCAGTACCAGAAATGTTAGCCGGGATAGCAGAGTTGGTATAGCGACTGGGTATGGGCTGGGTGACCAAGGGGTCAGAGTTCTGAGTCCTGGTGGGGGCAAGAATGTTCTAATCTTCAAGTCATCCAGACCGGCTCTGAGGCCCACCCATCCTCCTATCCAATGGGTTCAGGGCCTCTTTCACCATGAGGTAAAGTGGCAGGAGCATCAAACGGATCACTCACCTCCAACTAGTACTGAGGTCATGAAAATGTGGATCTATACATCCACTCCTTCATATGCCTTCACGGCATAGTGCTTAATTAATTAAGCATAGGCACAACTTTACCTTTTTTTTCCCTTTACCAGAAATATTTACAGATGTGGACCTCTCTTAAAGGCATTTTACCAGTTTCATCCCACATCTCACAAGATCATTGTTAACTGCTGAGAGGTGAAGAGTTCTTTCTCAGTTCTACGTTGTATTGATTCCTTTAATTAGCCATTGCTTTCTGACTTTAACAACTTTTTTGTGTTTACAAGGGCAGGCTGTTTTAGAAAAATTAAAAAGTTTGGAAGAAGCTTAGTTAGTCTTTCTTTTAGAAGCTTATTTTATGAAGCTGTAGTAGCTAGAGTAATGTAGTGTCAAATGATATGATCACTAGTGAATGATGTATTGGCCAGAATTTGGAAGGAAGCAGTCATGGCATAATCAAAGTAGTATCCCAGCATTTTCTTGGAGGGACTGAGGAAAATTATGTAGTACCTCTGTAATGACATATGATGTCCCAGCTAAACTGAGCACCTCCCAAATAAATGCCTAAGGCATTATCACCATTCTAACCTGTTCACTTGACAGTTGTAATAGCACTCTCATAGTTATACCAATGGCTGTAACTATTTCATCAGACCTTGGCAATTTCAACAATAACCACATTCACCAAGAGGTAAATTTCTCACCCATTACTCACTTAAGAAAAAAATACAACTACATCTGCAACAGAACAAAAGAGTACCATGCCCAAAAATATAGTTGTAGTGTTAATTCTACATTTTGGACTTAATACACAAATCTGAAAATCACCTTTATAAAAATGACACTTTAAACATTAAAATAAATACATCAACAGTGCTAAACCTTCACTGATAAAAGGATGATAAAACCGAAATAATGGTTTGAAAATGAAGTACTGATAAAAGGATGATAAAACCGAAATAATGGTTTGAAAATGAAGTACTATCTTCTGGAGTGTAATGCCGTATAGACCAGCAGTTAATCCTTTTGGAAGAACATACTGCCTCCATTTTCAGGACTCAAATATAAGCCACCTGCTTCCCGCTGATCATTTGCTCGACTTATTCTTCAACCCTGATGATCAGGAAAATATGCTCTTCCGAAACACAGGAGAATTTCTGTCGGACTCCGCGGTATTACATATCGTAAGATAGTACTTTTCGGTCACCGCTGCGAGAAGTTAAAATTCAACACAAAGTTATTGTTTCCAATTAAAACCCCATGCTAAAATTTTTAATGGTATAAACTACATAAAACGGTCCAGAATTGTTTAAACAATGTCAAACTATACGACTTGAAAGTATATAAATTACCATGTTCATATGGCGAGAACGTGCCAGCATCTATATTAATATACGGATCTATTTTGATTGACGTCACATGGATGTTGCTGCATTTCAAAATAGTGCCGAAAGAACTTGCAATAACACCTTTCCCTACACCACTTATAACTCCACCAGTAACCAATATATATTTCATTTTCACTGCACTTCCTTACTTCTGTTCCATAAACAACAGTTTACCGCCGGCAGCACACACCATGCGCACCGATGCGCACCACGCCACTCGATGTTCCTGGTCCTAGCATTTTTGTTTGTTTTTAAGAGAATTGCATTAAAAGTAAATAAAAGTAAAATTAGTATTGTCCAATTATTTATATTTGAATAATCTTCGCATCCTTTTCAATTTTATATATATATATATATATATTACTACGGACTGAACCACGTGACGCAAATCGCACGGTTGACAATTCATTTAAATAAAAGCGGGGTAAATGGATTTTGGAGCAACTGTTCAAGAAGATTACATTTAAATTACCCTAAATTTATTTTCATTTCAATACTTTTACATCCTTAGTAGTACTGATTTCGTAGGTGCAGGGCCCTTTGTTACGACATGCGGCACATTATCCACGGAATCAGCATTTTTATTCGCCACCGTGGTAACTGGAGCAACTGTCTAGCGATCAATTCAGTCATCATAGATGTCACAGATACGCTTTTTCATGTCATCAGTTTCTTTACTACTGTATGGATTTATGTAAAAGTATAATTATCCTCACTGTTACCTTTGAACATTTTTAATACATGTAGTTGAACTCTGCATAATTTTCGTAAGAAGCACATATCGATTACTATTGTAATTAGGTACTGAGGTACTACGCATGTGCACACGCTCGGATCGCAAAGTGCTGAATTAACCGGTGCGATTGGTGTACGTAGGTTTACTGGGATGACCGGGGTGATTGTGGTTGGAGACTACTAAGGTGAAGCAATGGCCAAAAGTGGACTGATGTGTAAAATTGGACCTTCTGTTCTAAATGCCAATCTTGCAGAACTTCATAATGAATCGCAGAGGCTCTTAGATAGCGGAGCAGATTACCTGCATTTAGATGTTATGGATGGACATTTTGTTCCAAATATCACGTTTGGACATCCTGTTGTAAAATGTTTAAGGACGAAAATCACTGATGCCTTTTTTGAGACACACATGATGGTAACGAAACCCGAACAGGTAAATATTAAAGTTCGTTTGTTACGTATATTTGTTTTTAAATCCTATCAGTTGTATCGGGTTTGAGTTGCTCACAGTGGTGACCATATTAGAGGATCACATTGCAGAAGTTAGTGCTCTGGCGGTCGTAATTATCTGTGTAACCTCAAACTTATTTTGTTTCAGTGGATTGAGCCCATGGCTGATGCTGGAGTTGACCAGTATACATTTCATGTGGAAACTTGTAATGATGTTCCATTTGTCTGCAGAAAAGTGAAAGAAGCGGGAATGAAAGTAAGGTTTGGTTAAAGTGCCAGTTTGTTTCAAACTCTCCTCAGTTGTATCCTGTCATGGGAGAGTGATTAATGGGTTTCCTTTCAGTATACAGTGATGTCTACTAAAGGCATTATTGTTGTGAGATTATGGTGCATTGTTTTGGAGTAAAAAGTGAGGTTAGCAGAAGTATGCCAAGGCAGCATGAAATTTGAATAGATCAAAGGGTGAAGTATGGTTTTACATTCTGAAGTTTGAAGCACTTGGTTTTGGGAAAGTTAGATTATATTAATATTTCATTGGGTTATGTTAGGTAAGTGCTTTGATTAAGATTTTAGTATGGTACAACAAAATTCACCAACTTGTATCTAACTTTCTGAAGTCTAGTATGCAGCTACTCAAGAAGTCCAAATTTTATGGAACCTGAACGTTTGTAACTGTGTTCAGAAGAGCCCTCCATGTGTCCCTATCCTGAGCCAGAACAATCTAGTCCATCATGTAACAATGATCTATAGAGATGAAATAAATACATACATAACACCCCATCCTAGCTCACTAAAATTAATTTTAATATTATTCACCCACTTACATCTTGATCTTCCTAGTAGTCTCTTTCCTTCTGGCTTTCCAACTTTTATGCATCCCATTTGTGCTACAACTTTTATCCAGCCTCCTTGTTTTTAGTGCCCTTCCACTCTCATCCTCCTTGACTTGAACGTTCTGATTACACATGGCAAAGAGTACAAGTTATGAAGCTCCTCATTATGCAGTTTTATCCAGCCTCCTGTCACTTCATCTGTCTTTGGTCCAAATATTCTTTTCAGCACCTTGTCCTAGAACACCCTCAGTCTATGTTCCCTGAATGTCAGGGACCAAGTTTCACACCCGTACAGAATCACAGGCAGAATTAGTTTTGTATATTCTAATTTTTATGCTTCTAGACAGCAAATGAGAAGAGAGAAGGATCTGGAATAAATAGCAAGAAAGAATAAGGGAACAGCAGTATTAAAAAAAAGACAGTTCTTGCAACAGTATGTAGGATTTGGTGTTCTCACAGTGGTGGTTACAAAGAGGTCTGTCTTCTGGGATATAACAACATGCCAGTTGAAAGTTACCAGCATTTTGGGAGGAACAAAGTTCCTCCATTTTCAGGTTGAAGAATAGGCCAAGCAAGAAATCAGAATAAAGCAGGTATAGCAAGATCTCAGAAGACAGAACTGTTAAGTTCCTGGAACAGTTTCACAACATTTAAAATTTTTTCTTCTGTGCTCTAGGTTGGGCTAGCACTTAAGCCTGGAACAGGTGTAGAGGCAGTTCAACAATATATTGATCAAGCTGACATGATTTTGGTTATGACAGTAGAACCAGGTTTTGGTGGACAAAAATTTATGAGAGACATGATGGGGAAAGTGCACTGGCTACGACAGAATTATCCTGATTTAGATATTGAAGTTGATGGTGGTGTAGGACTAAGCACCATTGAAGCCTGTGCAGAGGTATGTATTGTAATGAATTTGATAAGTTGGCTAAAGCTTAGCATAGGAAAGTACTTCACTTTCAGTTTTGTTACTTTCTGGTTAAGTTACTTTCCATAGTTCCCTAATTTGTTACCATATGGGTAGCAGAATTAAAGATCTATGTAGGAGCTGTGTATATCTTGAATGTAACAAACCACCTTAAGTCCCAAACTTTGCTGTATTAATTTTCCTGTTTTACCTTTGTTACCTTCAGGCTGGTGCTAATATGATCGTCTCAGGTACAGCTGTGATAGGAGCAGAAGATCCAGGAAAAGTAATAGCAACAATGCGAGATATAGTGGAAGGATCAATTCAGAAATGTCAGCTTGAGAGGTGAGATGTGGAGTGTGGTGCATTTACATAACCGACCTCAGATTTCTGTGAAATGTTTTATTGATAAATGGGAAAATATTTTGTACAGCTGAAGAAGAAATAAATATTTTTATACAAAACATTCTTGCATTTAGCCCTTGTTACTGTTAAAAAATAAGGTAAAGTTACCCCTGCACTTAATTAAGCACCACAGCATCAAGCTATATGGCTAAGTGGAGTTATAGCTCCACAATTCTTGACCTCAGCAGTAGATGGACGTGAGTTCCTTACAACTATTTTTACACAGTACTATTTATTTTTGGAACTAACTTCATCCGTAGTTCTGCAAGACTAATGAGAATAGCTTCTTCAGTTCTTATTGTCCTTGACCCTTGCCCAGGGCAAGTGTTGAGATAATGGTCAAACACCAGAGCTGGATCATTTACTGTCAACATTTCATCATTATCCAGTGCTGCCTCAAGTCCTTGGAGACCTCCAAATACAATAAGTGCATGATTATATGGAAGACCTTTAAGAGGAATGTCATCTGTTTTGTCCCCTCTCTCAGAAGTTCCAATGGTGAGGTCATATCCTTCAGGATATGGCGCTTGTGAGAAGACTTCCCCTAGTGACTGTGCTATCCGGACTGTGTAGCCCCAGTAAACGCCAGTCTCTGCAGATGGCAGAGATGGTGGTACAATTATTCCATGAAGTTTTTTTGAGCCTTCACAAGCCTGCAGAAGTTTCACTGTCACACGGATGCCGGGTGTTAGGCTTTTGTCAACAATTACATCTTTGAGTAGACCACAGTTGACAGCAGAACCTTTGCCTGCTCTCACTGGAAGATTAGTTGTAACGCCTTCTCTGAAATATAGAAGTGTGTATTGCAATGATCTTCTGATTTGTGTTTGGCTACTAAACTACCATTCTGTAAAACTTCACTGTTCCTGATTGATGAATAAACAGGAAATGGGGTGATTAAAAACTAAAAGTATTCCTTTTTAACCAAACTGCCCAGAAAAGAAAAAAGCATAGTATGCCAACACTGCATGAAATTGGATATCATTTGTATACAAGACACCACCTGCGAAAACTGGAGAAGGGAATTGTGTGGTACTTTATAAAGATATCCACAAATTTGGGGTGGGGGGAGAACATTATTTGACAAGAACAATACTTTGAAAATAGAGGGTCCTGGAGCAACTTAGCCCATGGAAAGCTTCCTTGAATTTTTGTACATAATATCTCAATAATATGCCTTTTCCTTTCTTCACTCAGTGAAGTAAATTCAACATATCAGAACCACTCACCTTTTGGCATATTGTGATCATTTTAATGAATTGATATATTTTTCTGGATGAATCTGACTCCCATGAGACAAGGAAAGATGGATTTCTTAATGTGCACCTTTTCAACCTATGGGGACAAATACTGGTAATAAACAATAATTTGGTCAATGCTGCAGGGGCAGGGAAGCAATAGACTGGCACTCTCAGGAAGACCAGGTTGCTGCCCCATGCTCTTGAGTCATGAGAATGTCCTCATCTAGACTAACCAGTCTATTTCAAGCTTCTTTCTTAATTCAAAATTACAGCCAATCAGGGGTAAGCATTTCAATTTGAATGCCATTTTGGTTTCACACTAAAATTTCACCAAAATCTCTTATTATACTAGAAACGGTCACTAACAGTTCAGTTGCACTTCAATAGGCATTCTCAGCCAACCTGAAACCACAGCATCTGATATTTTAAATTCATTACCTAAAGTAATTATACATACATTTCAGCCTTAAGCATTTGATCTTTTTGCATGGTTATCCCTTCAGTGAAGTTAAATAAATTATAAATAAGAAATGCATACTGGAACCTAAGGAAAATGTTTAAGTTGGATACATACACACACACACACACACACACACTTTTTAGTGAATATTTGTTTAGCATGCAGCTTCACATGTCCTGTTCTCCAAATCCCACCAGAACACAGGAAGCCATGGAAAACGTTTTTACAGGTACAATCACCAAGGTATTTATGGTGCAGAGTGTTTTTGTGAAGGAGATACTTTCCCAGACAGTAAGAAAATCCTCTTAACATTCATTCTGCATTCATAACAGTCCACCCTATGCCAATATGGATTATTATGAACGATTACCATTCCCTTTGTACATAAAAATGTATGATCAATACTGGTTCACTTGAATTCCAAGTTCAGCACTGAAATTTTTTCACATGCTAATTTTTTACAATGATGGGTTGTTAGTCCAATCTTGAATCTTGAGAACCACCTCTTGTTGGCTGCCCATGACTACTTATTCAGAATACTTGTAGCTGCCCTCAATAACCTGAAGAAATGCCACCATGCTGTGGTAACAGGGACCCAGCTTGAACATGGCACCTTCCATGTAGACCCATGTGGTTGCGCTAAGCACGTATTAGGCCAGAACACATCGAACAAATGAAGATGACAACTTTTATTATATCTTATTCTCCATATCCAATTCTCTTTTGTTGGTCCATAAATTCATCTTAGGATTTTCCTCTCAAATGAATTGATGACTGATTCCTCTTTCTTGTTTGGCATCCAACCCTCACATCCATAATAAAGCACCGGTCCTATCATTGTTTTATATATTTTTGTTTTAATCGCTCGGTGTATATCCTTTGATATAAAAGCTGACAGTAACGAGAAATATGCATTATTTGCTAGTTTTATTCTTCTTGTTATTTCATGATTTTCCTCTCCATCTTTGTGGAATTTCGATCCTAAATATATGAAGTCTTCAACTATTTCTATCCCATCCCCTTCTGTGTTAATTTCTCCAGTTTGCCTTGGATTCCTTCTAGACTGTTATCAGCATTTTAGTTTTATTTACATTCACCTCTAAGCCAATTGTTTTTGCTATGGTTTTTATTTCTTTATGTCTCCTTCATTGCTCTTAGGGATCTTGATACTATAATAATATCATCTGCATACACCATTATTTGTGTTTGTTTACACGCTATTGTGTTCCTTGTGTCTGCATTACATTTCCTCACTATATATTCCAATACCAAATTAAATAGTGATGGTGCCAAACTATCTCTCTGTTTTAATTCTTGATTTGTCTTGAAGCATTCCATTAACTGGTTCTGGATTTTAACTTGATTGATTGTTTGTCATGGTTAAGTTAATTATTCTACTTAGTTTTGTTGGAATACCAAATGTGGACATAATCATCCTTAATTTCTTCCTTGTTATTGTATCATATGCTTGTTTACAATTTATGAAGCATAGGTAAATATCTGTATTAAATTCCCAACATTTCTCCATTATTTGTCTCAGCGTGAATAAATTGTCTATTGTCGACCTATTGGGTCAAAATTCTGATTGATCTTCTATTATTTTTTCTATATATGGATCCAGTCTCTTTTTTAGTATCCTTGTTAAAATTTTATATGCTGTCGGTACTAATGATATACCTCTATAGTTACCACATGTTAATTTATCCCCTTTTTTAAATATGGGACATATAATGCTCTTTCCCCAATCTTCTGGTATCTTTTCTTCTTCCCACACTTTCTTCATAATTCTGTGGAGTGCTATTATTTCTTCTTGTCCTCCTGCCTTCAATAATTCTGCTGGTATGTTGTCTCCTCCTGGTGCTTTATTTAGTTTTTGTTCCTTTAATGCTTCTTTCACTTCTTCCTCTGTTGGGGGCTCTATTATCTCTTCCTCTTCCCCTTCTCCATCATCTGTATTTTCTTCTTCATTGTCCTCGTTATCTTCCATATTCTGATTTTGATTTAATAATTGTTCAAAATATTCTTTCCATGTATTCATAATCTCTGTTTTATTATTCATGAAAAGCCCTTTTTTGTCTTGGATAAATTCTGTTTTTGGTTTGGAACCTTCTTTCATATATTTGATTTGACCAAAGGCATTTTTTGTTTTTTTTATTTTTTAAGTCTTCTTCCACTTGCAGTAATTGCTCATTTAGAAAGGCCCGTTTCTTTTTCCTGAAAATCTTGTCTGCTTTCCTTCTTGCTTCTTTATACACCTCATTTCTTCCTCTTGTTGGTCTTTCCATATATTTCTTATTCTTGAGGTTTATACTCTCCCTACATTCCTTGTCAAACCATTCTCTATTATCCTGTTTCTCTTGATATCCCAGAGTCCTCTCAGCTTCTGTAATTATTGCGGTTTTAAAATCTACCCATATCCCTTCTATTGTTACTTCTTTATTTGCTCTACTGTCATTAATTTCTTTAATTTTACTTTGAAATGCTTCTCTCTTGTCACTCTCCGTAATCTTGTCAATATTAAATTTCTTACAGTTCTCATACTGCTTGGATCTTTGACAACTTATTTTACATCTATATTTAACCTGTACTAAGTAATGATCGCTATCACAGTTGGCCCCTCTTAATGTTCTTACATCCGGGATATTCATTGCAAATCGCTTCTCTATGAGAACATGATCTATATGATGGAAGGTTACCCCATCCAGTGCTGCCCATGTTCTTTTATGTATATTTTCGTGCGGGAAGTATGTAGAGCTGATGATCAAGTTCTTACTTTCTGCAAAATCTATTAATTTTATTCCATTATGGTTGGTTTTATCATGTAAACTTTCTGTCCCAATTACTCCTCTGTATTCCTTCTCTTTACCTATTTTGGCCTTAAGATCCCCTAAAATAACCTTTATGTCATTACTTGGTATTGAATCATATGTCTCTTCCATTTGTCGATAGAAATATTCTTTGACCGCCTCCTCTTTTTCTTCTGTAGTTGCGTCCATGTTCATCAATGTCATATTGAAAAATTTCATTCTAATTCTCAAAGTAAAAATTCTTTCACTTATTGGTTTAAAGTCTATTATTGCACTTTTAAATTCTTGTTCTATTACAAAGGCTACACCAAATGCCTTATTGCCTTTTGCTTTACCACTGTAACATATAGTGTGTTTCTTTAAGTCCATGATTCCTTTACCCAGCCATCTAATTTCCTGTATGGCTGTGATTTTCATATTGTACTTATCTATCTGTTCTAGTACCGATTTCATGGCACTCTGTTTATTAAGGGTTCTCACATTCAATGTACCTAGAGATTAGTCCATATTCTTTGCCAATTGTCTTCCATTCTGTTGAGGTTTCCGAGGCTTGATTCCAGGTTTCGAGACATTTGTATTTTTTTACGGTGAGAGGTCGTCGGCCTCTCACCCAACTCCCAACCTGGAGGACCAGGGTATCTCTTTTAGTCTGGGTCATCCCCTTTGACCTGTCTGGCATGGGTGGCCCTACCAGTAGCTATGCTACCGCTGACATAGCTCTCAGGGTCATTTGACCATGCAAGCCCCTCCACTATGTCATAGTAGAGACACCATCGGGGGGCAAGAATATTTACTTTGCCAAATTTCAATCCTTAGTAAGTTACTGTTTGATTTCTTGGGGTGGAGAAACCGAAAATAGCAAAGTAATGAAAATACAAAAAAGGATATTTCGTTTAATGAAAGATGTAAATAGCAGAACATCATGCAGACCTATTTTTAAAGACTTAAAGATTTTAACTGTTACCTCCTTGTATATTTTTGAGGTGTTGTGCTATTTTCAGAAATATAATTTATACTCTTAAGAGAAATTCAGATTTATATGAATATAATACTAGAAGGAAAAACAATTTTCATGTGCCAAATTGTAACACATCACCTTTTAATAAAAATGTTATCAATATGGGTATTAAATTGTATAATAGACTGCCTTTGGAATTAAGAAAATCAGATGGATGTAAAGATTTTAAACATAAAGTCAATAGAAAGTCCGTCGAGTGTAACAATTTTTTAGGCAAAAGTGATAAAGAAGTGACCTAAAAATTGTTACCCTCGACGGACTTTCTATTGACTTTGTGATTGATAGTGTAACGGACCAAAAATGAAACAATTCAAAATTTTAAACATACATTAAAAGTATCTTCACTAGATAATCCATTCCACACGTTGCATGAGTTTCTTTTAAAGGGAGAGTAGTAAGTATAGCAAAACCCCTATTCAGTAATTGAAACAGATAACAAATGGTTGGTGGTAGTATCTTAGTGGACTTAGACCCCCTCCTCACTCCCGGTCATTTTAATTCTTTTTTTGTTGAAATTGCAGGAAAAATGGTAAACCAATTAAATGATCAAAAACCTAAGTATGACCAAGCATGTAAAGTTACTCCATTTTCTAAATCGATTTTTTTTGTACCAATTACAGAAAATGAGGTACTTAGTGTGACTAGTAAACTAAAAGGTAAACTCTCTGCGGGCTATGACGAAATCCCAGAAAAGTTAGTAAAATTTAGTATTCAACCTATTTGTAAACCTTTAACATTTATTTTTAATTTGTCTCTTTGTACTGGAATTTTTCCTGATCAGATGAAGATTGCCAAAGTTCGCCCTATTCATAAGAGAGGACGAATTCAAGAATTATCTAATTATAGACCTATTTCACTATTACCTGTTTTTTCTAAAATCTTTGAAACATTAATATATAACAGAGTAGTGAATTTCTTAAATAAACATAATTTGATATCTGATGCCCAAAATGGCTTTAGACAAAATAAATCAACTCATACAGCACTGCAATCATTTATTGAGGATGTTCAGAAAGCATTAGACAATAAGTTTTTTGCTTTGGGTATTTTTTTGG